CGACGACGACGAGAGAGAGAGAGAGAGAGAGAGAGAGAGAGAGAGAGGCAACAGGCGGCAGAAGCTGAAGAGGCAGCACCAAAACCTTCGGCTAACCTCATCTCTCCTCTCTCATCACATCAAGGGATTCTCATGTTTCGGTGGCCAACTCCACTACCAGTTTAGAGTCGTCACTTCGAGATCTTCTTCCCTGTGGTTTGTCTTGATCTGGGGATCTGTGTTGTTGATTGACTCGGTTCATCATTGAAGGCAAGTGAGATTAGCTAACTTTAATCACATCAATCTCCTCATGAAGTATAAACTCTGTGTATGCCCTGTTCTGACACTACTCATCACCAACTTCTCTGTGAGGTTTTGGTGTGTGAAGAAAGAAACTGCACCGAATGCTGGCTTCCTTCCAATTACATATTCATAAGACTCTCTGTTGCAGTTTCTCCATGTACTACTGCAACACAAGTCAATTTTAAGTGGCTACAGATGGTATCAGATTCAACCAAAAGAAAAAGAAGGATGAAACCAAATATGTAGCAGAAAGCTATTGACATGACCTGAACACTCTTTCAGCAGCTCCTTGCATCTTGTGGCTTCAGTCAAAACGCTACACCTTGGCATAGCAGGAATCACACTAGACAGGTTCTCTGTTGACACTTTGCTCCAAGAGCAAGACCTTTTCCAAACTCACTTGTAACAAAGACTATTGTGATAGGTCTAGTGGACATGAAACTTGAGATATGATAACAAGCCTTGCTGTGTCTGTGAAGGCACAGTTTCTGCCCTCCTTTGTCACGGTTCTTTACTCCATGTTCACTTAATATTAGAGTTTGGACTGAGGTTAGGCAGGTGCATCATGACAAAGGGAGTCGGTTCATTGGTTGTCAAGCAAAGAAAAAGCAGCAGAATGCACATCACATTTTAAATGACAAGCAAAGTGGAAGTCTAGAGCAGACCACCAATTCTGTGACACTTATCTTCTTATCTCTCTCGAAACAAAAGGAGATGAGAGGAGCAGAGAAGAATGAGAATCTGATAGTGTTCAGCCATGATTAAAATCTGGTGAATTAATGATTCCAAGCCTGCCAAACTCTTTCTTCTTTTCAAATCTGCTTCCATGTAATTAAGCTTCATCTCTCTTCAGTGAAAAAGAGTTGTGCTTTCCAGCTATCTAATCTCTTTTCCAGTTATTACAGCATAAGCAAACCAACCACTCCTTTTTGAAGTGGCAGTCCCAAACACTCCATGGGAAGCTTCTCCTTTTCCATCAAACTCAGCAGCCCTCAAGTTATTCTAACAAAAGGAAAATGCCACAGCACTTGCGGAAGTCAATATCAAAGACAGAACAAGCTTCCTAAGTAGTACAGGACCTAATTCAAGACACAAAATTCTTCCTTCTCGGCCAAGCCAAACACAGAAGCCTCATCTTGCATCGGTGAATGGCTTCATGAACACATGTCGCAGCAACTTCCCAATCACTGTTTTGTACTCCTGAATCCTTCAAATTCCAGACTTTCGGGGAATTAGAACTATCTGGGGATAGTTCGGCTGAGAGGTATCCTTTAAGCAAATCATCTTTGATCATATATCAAAAAATTTGGTAAAAGAGCTTTCTCAAGAAAACGAACAATGAACTGACCGCATGAAGAGATCAATTTTTTTCCTAGTCCACGACTAGACATTATCATATGTCCAAGAAGGTGGAAGAGAAAGCTCTTGATAAGGAAGACGATACATAGAGAAGAAAGAGAGGCACCATGCAGAGATCATTCATCTCATGTTGGATTAATTGGTTTGCATGACAGAGAGAATTAGAAATCAAAAGCTCTCGAGTGAGAAGCTCAAATTGTACGTTTGAACCGTTCTTCTCATACCACCAATCTAAATGGAAGTGCCGGCAGCCGAAGCAGATGACGGTCTCGGGGACGTGACCGGGAACAGTGGCAGCAGCCTCGGCGGCTCCGAGCCCCTCGGCGTGGTCTTTGGCGAAGGGTGGAAGTAGAACCCCCTCTCGGCAATCGCCCGGTCCTCGGCCGACATCGTTGCTCCGGTGGCGGCGGCCGGACTGGGTTGCGGCGTCCGGTTGAACGGATCGGGGATCAAAGGCGTGACGGGGCTGAGGTTCAACGACGGCAGGTCCAGCATGCTCGGCGAGAGGATCTCCGGCTGCCTCCGGGAGAAGAAGGCCACGCCCATGGGAGAACTCGGGTCGGACTTGACGAAACCTGGGATCATTGGGCTTATCATCTTCAGGTTCTTGAGGCTGCCCCGGCGCTCATGGAGCTTAAAAGTTGGCTTCTTGGGGCCGGTGGCCTTCGCGGCGGGCGAAACCAAGTTCTTGGTTGGCGGCGCTGCGGTGGCGCCGGCGTGCTTGGCGGCCCTCGCCACGGAGCCTGTGAGCATCTGGACTACTTGCTTGAAGGAAGAGGCGTCAGCCTGGATGAAGGTGGTGGGGAAAGAATTGGTGTCGACGGATTTCGGTAAGGACTGGGGAGTGAGAGGTGTGGGCGAACAAGCGGCCGCTGCTGCAGCTGCTGTCACACCATTGCTGCTGCTGCTGCTGCCGTTGTTACTGCTGGAGTTGGAGTAAGGGGAGGTGGGATGGGAAGATTGCTGCTCGTTCTCATGGAATCCATGGTGAAGGTTTTCCATTGGATGGACGAGTTCAGAGAACAAAAAGAGAAGGCTATTCTCTCGGGGACTGATGCAGAGGGGTAAGCATATGGGTGGGACTGAGCAGAGGAGGAATTAAAAGGATGTTGGTTTGGAGTTGGGAGTCGGGAGTTGGGTGGGAAAAGGAAAGGGTGGAGGAGAAAGAGAGATTGACTTGGAGATGAGTAGCCCGTGTTTAATGGAATTCTCTCTTCTTGAGGAAAAGACTTGTATTGCCATGGCACAGAGGTTTGGTGCCATCTTCCATGATGACACATCCAGGAAAATTCTTGATCCACATTGACTTCAGAGCCATCGACTACACCAGCTTTGGAGGATCCACAGTGTCTTCTTCTGCTTTCCACTGTAGTTACTCATTCCGAAGAATGATCATGTTGGTGTTGAACTGTCAGGGGCGAAAGATTAGCCGACCAGTTGCACAGTATCTGCAGCACTCTTCCTGGGAAGTCATCCTAGAATTACTACTCACAACACAGAGAGAGAGAAGTGAGGGCTTTCAGAGGGATGAGCAAGTATGACAATCTACATGCTCAACTCACAGTCAGCTTGTGTTATAAAATATGGTATTAAGTCTTACATTAGCCAACATAAACACTTTCCATTTGAGTCTTAATTTAGTGGCACTTGAACTAGTGGATCTCCTTTACCACAAGTCATCTTAATCACTTGTTTTAGCTCACAAATTAAATCGATGTTGACCATGACCATGAGATGGTTGATGTAGCCACATCAATTTTCTTGGCTGACTTTGAAGACTCAACTTTCCCCTCCAAATATAATATATCTTCAACCAATTTTATCCATAAAAATTAATCATATTTTACGTATTAGATTTATTTGTAATTCTCTAAAACGACTATAATTTTGAGGTCTTAATCGATTTATATTCGGAAGAAAAAAAAATGATCATAGTTGCAGAGAAATAGACAAAAGAACTTAGCATGCACTGGATGAACCAAATGAGAGTTGATGGTTGATAGCATCGACTTGATAAGTCAGTCATCGATGAGGACCACTCTTTTGACTACTACTCGTGCGTTTAGTCATTCTCTTTTCTCATTCCGAGCGTAATAATAGATTATATATGCGTTTCGTTTGCATTATTCCTATGCCTACCAAAAGAATGGTTCGTCGAATAGTACGCACACTTCACTTCCGAGACGTGGACGAGTCTTGTGCAGGCGTCCTTCTCCTTACGTCCTCGGTACCATACGTTCCTTCCCCCGTCACCGGTGGAAACCACTCGCTACTTAGTCAACATATAATTATAATATAGTTTAATTTCGATATGGACATATTGCGATTTGGTGGGTTGTCGACAGCAACGTCAACTCAATAATGTTTGACTCTCGAGGGATAGATGATGTCGACCCCAACGAGCGGAATCCAAGATTGATCAGTAATTCACGGATTCAGCACATCTGTCACTTACAACGAGAAGAAGAACCGTAGATCACGTACGTCGCTGTCGAGTAGATGACACTACTTATTATTTCGTATCACTTCAAATTATCTCTTATCTCTAATCTAAATTAGTTATTCTAAAAACTCAATATTTAGTGATGCTTTACCCAATTTTGTCAGTGATAATTTTGGGGGAAAAAAAATCACGATTAAGAAACAAAATTAATTATTAATTATCTTGCATTCACAAAATTTATTTTAATAAAATTAATTATTAATTTGGTCTGAAAGAAAAAGGGAAAAAAATAATTATCTTGCATTTAAGCTGGGCCCCACATCAATTGGCATCGATATATATTTATGGACAAGCGTGCGTGGATTAGGTGGTGGCTCTCTTCTCGGTGCACGATCGTCGTTCGACGATGTTAGGTCACGTAGTCAACGGAAGGGGACACGATGCCGTGGGTCAAACCACAGCCCACCCACCGGTGTCGGGTTGCCCCGTGACTTCGCATTTTTCGGCGACCTTTTGACCCAACGCCGTTTCCTTCTCTCTCCATCGTTTACTCCTCCTCCCTAATTTTTCTCTATCAATCCGGAAATCCCCCATTTCGATCGGAGTTTCTTTTTCCTCGTTCCGTGTAATGGAGTCCTCGGAGACAAAGTCAACCTGGGTGATGGCAATCTGTGCGCACGCCTATAAAACAGACAGCTGATAGAGGAAAGCAAGGTTAATAATGGAGCAGCTTGGTGGAAGATGATCGATAGCAGGATGAAGTACGATTCTGTGCATGTTTTGGAACCATTTGGATTGGTTTAGTTGCCAAGAAATAAAGTAACAATAGTGGATCTTGCTTTGGTTTTGACACGGATGATGAGTTCTGGAATCGGGAATCACAGTTGAGAACTCGCTCGGCATGGATGAATCAGGTTCTTTTATTCCATGATCTTTAAGGTCAGTAACAGAGTCTGTCGATGCAGCAGCATCTCCCATCACCACCATGTCGAATTCCATTCTCGATTAACCCAGAAGCCACGTTCCGTGGAGGAAGCCCCCTTTCTTGTTCTTCCTTTTCTGCATCTCTTCCAATGGTTTCCTCACTGATGGAACCAACCGTGCAGGCCATGAACATTCCAAGAAGTGGAGAATGAGGTCCCCCATATTGAAAGTCGATGCTGATAATGACATGTTGTTCATCGATCATTAAGGAAAACAAGCGGTTGTCATTCTCAGACAGTTCTTGCCAGCCATAAGCCTCCAAACACGCACAGTAAACATATAATCCAGTAAGAGAATGCTAAAAAGGAAACTGAACAGGTAAGTCGAAATAGAAAAGACATTGGTCAAACCACTCTGTCAAAGCTTAGCATCCAAATCTTATAGTGTTTGCATTATGGTTGAATTAAATTGGTAATCATTTGACCATCTTTTTGCATCATCCTTGGTTGTTGTTTGTTCTTGTTGAAGTCATTAATCTTAGTTCGATCGCTTGCTTGGCATTGACGGGATGGGAAGGATTAGTCCAACTTTGGTCGTGCAAGCAAGCATGTTTCAGATTGGGCATTAGCTTCTCTGATGAAATCGAAGCTTTGCCATGCCCAGCCATTCGAGTTCAGAGTAGGCCTCGAAGCCTCTTTTACTCTATGAGCACCAAAACACCAGTGATGCAGGTTGATAGAGAAAGATGCAAGCAAGCAAGCATTAGCACCATAATTCTAGGAAATAGCAGAGTGATGCTTGGAAATAAACACGGGAACTGAAATCAAGTTCTCCAATTTCGTTGAATTTGAGATATTTTTACAAGCTCTCCTTGTTGCCCTCGATTGCAGCCAGAAAGCTGCAACATCATCAGATCATCCTGAGTTCCAACTTTTCAGCTCATCAGTTGGCTTCATCGACCCTGGTTAATTTAGACCTGTGTGCGAGAGTAAATGGCAGATCTAGTCAGAAATGAGCTGAGAACCACGGGGAGCTGCCAAGCCAAGTATCGACAGATGAGTAAGTACCCAGTCTCAGGTCCAGTCCTGGAGTTGAAGAGGCAGATCCATCTGCTTCCATGCCTCTAAGCGTCTGCACTCGTGCAATCTGCAAGCATGGAGGACGCAACTTTACCTCTGCAAGCTATGCATTTTGGCCTACATGATATGAGGGTTGCTAACAGGGGAACGACTGTCTATATGTACTCAAGCGGCAGCTGCACTATTGCGAGAGAACGCATACCTTGTCGCACAGACCATATCTTTCTTGTTGGCGATCTCTTACCTTGAAATGGAAGAACGAAATCATTGCAAGATGCAAAAGAGACACCCCCAAAAGAGAAGGGCTTTGGAAGACGAATCAAACCATGGTTTCGAGTTTGTGGATCTGTGCCCCTATCTTCCGGTCCATCTCCACTCGGACCTTGCCGATGGCCGTCTCCAAGTTGTGCTCCAGAAGGCCCAGATCCGGCAGCGAGTACTGCTGTCCCTCGTCAACCTTCATGAATCTAATGCAAGAAAGGAAACAAGGGAACCGTAAGCGAGCTGCGGCACCAGCCGTTGATCTCCCGAGGTAGACATTTCAAGTCACCTGAGCTCTCTCTCTAAAGTGTCGCACAGTTTCTCCACCATCTCCATCTCTGCGTTCCGTTCCTACGTACAAGTTGGTGAACTTAAGCCGAGCACGAGGGCGAGAGTTAAACGGAGAGAGCATACCAAGCGACGGTCTCCCCGAATCTGTGTTTGGGCGGCCACCTCATACCGTTCTATGAGCTCCTTGGCACTGCGGTCGAGCAAAAGCTGCAGGTAAGCTTAATGCTGTTTGTGTGTGTGTGCGTGTATGTGCTATAGGTATAGGAAGAAGGCATGCATTCACCTGGCGACCGAAGGGGAGTGATACTGATACAGCTTGCCGGAAGAGGAAAAGAGGAGGAGGAGGAGGTCGGCGTCGCAGAGAACAGAGAGCTCCCTGGCTTTCTTAAACAGACCGTCCCTTCTTTTATAGAAAGTGGACTGCCTCTGGATCGGGTTCTCTATCCTCTTTATCTCCGTTCTCCCTCTCCCCATGTCGCCCGCGGCAGTGGCGGCAAGACACGCGTTAGAGCTTTGCGCTGCCGCTCTCCTCCCCTCCAAACAAGGCCTCCCCGCCCCTGGGCTTGTAGAAGCGACCCGAAGAAACTTACATCAATATGGCAATGGTGAGGATTGAAATGGGAAAGCGATGACAAAAGGCTTGGTAATAAATGTTGCAGCACTATCTATTCCTCCTCCTCCTCCTCCTCCTCCTCCTCCTCAAGGAGTGCGTGCCTGTCAGCCGCGGCCTTGAATCCAAGGGCCATCCTAATCTCTGCAAGCAAGCCAATTATCAGAGGTGTGGTCTAATCGTAGCGGAATCATTTCCGAGAGGTTTTAAGCAAAAGGAGGACGAACTCGTGATGTCCGATGTGAGAGTTCCTCAGCTCATAAAGTAAAAGTTTCCAGGTTTGTCCGGAATGCAGAGTTCGGTCCTCGGAGGCGTCGAGGACATGTCGTGAACCATCGGTCCGAAGACATTTCCGGCACAAACTGCAAGGCAATTGAAGGATTGATATCACGAGAGAGAGAGAGGTTCCTGATACGTCTCGCGAGGAAAAGAGAGCATGAAAGATGCAGAAGCGACGAACGGACAACGGGAACACAAACAAAACGAACGGTTCTAACACATGATTTCCGCTGTAGAGGTCACTCTCCTAATGCCATCTTCTCCGTTGCTTACCGGTCTCTTAAGCTTGGATCATAGTCCAGAAAAGATGAAGTACGTCTCTTGGTGGTCTGTGTCGCTGCTGCCACCAGCGAGGGTGGCGAGGTTTGGAAGCATTTCCATTTTGGGAAGGAAATGGACAGACAAAAGATCCACGACGTACGCTGCTTTGGATTCGGACAAGGCCCATGAGCGAGCTCATGTGATGCAGACGGATCGAGGTGATACGACGTCTCATCTCATTTCCGAGGAGAAGAAAAAGAATGGGATTGGTGGCCTCAGGTGCCGCCAACTACACTGTTGGTTGGCCATGATTTCCCATTCCGGGACGGGAAGCTGAAGCTTGTATGATCTGTGCCTTGTGATAGCAGATGCAACCCAACGTGCCGGGCCTGTTAACAATGAAGGGTCATCGTTAGCCCTATCCATAAGCTTCACCCTTCGACAACCGTAGCATGTCGACGTGGGCTCATTTTGACTACTAGAAGTCAAAAAGCATTCAACGATTTCCTAAAAAATCTTTTTTTTAAATATACCACTGTTTCTATTTTTCTCAAATGGTATCCTTATTTTGGATAATATTAAAAATATCTCTCGTCAATCTAAATGGTATTATTTGACTAAGATCAAAAACATCATATGAACCGATCCATATGAAAAATATTTTTAGTTTAATTTTTATTTTCCTCTCGACTTGGAGTAATCCGCTTACTCGACTTCTTATATTTAAAGTAAATTTGTGTATGTACTCCAATGGTCCTATTGTTTCGGACTATTATCAATTAAAATCCGTGTGTAAGATATGCACTTCTTCGAAAAATGAAAAAAAAATATTGATCTATTTTGATATTTCAAACTAAATTCTTTTCGCTACTTAATCAAATTCTTTTTTTTTATGATTGAATTGACCTCTACAGTTTTAGTAATTCCTAAATTACTTGATCATCAAAACAAGCAAGAATATTATTTCTTTCTCTCATTCTTAATCATATTGTAATGGGATGATGAATATATTTTCTTTTCTTACTTTTTATCAAAATAATAATAATAAGGCTGGTTTGTTGTTATTCAGTAGTAGTATCATGTGGACACTTAAGAGGACTTTTAATTATAATAAAATATCATAGATCCTTTGTCGTATGATTATTCATGACTTACAAAGTTTATATTTATAATTTATATTACTTATTAGGTATTTATCAAAATATTTGTCTGTGAGATTATGAGATAAATGTTTTTTCTAACTTATCTTCTTTTTTAAGTATTTTTATGGGACTATAAGATATTTCGAAAAGGTTGATCTTTTATGGATGAATATGTAATGATACCATATGGCTTAGATAAAACTAACTAAGTCGATGACATATGATACATTAATCCAAGTGGCTGGATCGATCGGCACAATAATATGGTCCAACCCATAAGGCGAGTAAACTCATTCCAATGTTTTCAAGTAGACTTTACAATATTTTTATTATAGTTAAAACATTATAAAATATCATTTTTTATCCCGTTTGAGTGATATTAGTTTTAAAATAACTATAAATACTTATTTGAATCATAGTATGGTAAATAAAATTATTTCTAGTGTATTTTAATTCTATTTGACTTATTCATGATGTTTTCCAAATAGCATTGCATTGTTCTTATTGAGGTGCTGAAAACATTATAAAGCTATTGATTATCATATTGTGCTCATTTGATTATCGTTTTTAGACTTATAGTTGGTTTGATTGAGGTTAGGAGTCCATTTAGATTGTTTATATTTTTTTAAGATAGACTTTACAATATTTTTATTGTGATAGTTAAAACACTGTAACATATTACTTTTTAATCCTTATTTGGGTGATGTTGTTTATAAACTATTATAAATACATATTTCTGGTGAGTTTTGATCTCATTTTCAATAGCATTACATTGTTTATGTCCCTATCTATATCAAATATGAGTGACTAAACTACTATACATACCCAATAGATCAGACCAGGTTGCTTCCATCCACTTGAACAGGTACACCCAATGGATCAATTTATAGGAGGACATCTCCGAGACTGATATGAAAAATATCACTATGGCTGGTGAAAGATATTTTCAACAAAACAGAAGTATCATTAAAATATATATATATATATTCATTCATTCAGATGCTCTCCGGAAAAGATAGGTTGCAAAGTGGCCTACGATGTCGGTGGCACGAAATTTGGAATGGCTGCTGTATATTCACAGCCTTTCTTCTCCGCCTGACAGCCCCACGCACCCTCTCTGGGCTACTTGGCATGTGCATTGTGCTGACCAAATGGGAAAGACACTCTGAGCTCTCTTCTCATATACGACGACGAGCATTCCTCTGGTGGAGCCTCAACTACTACAGTGCACATCTGTATCCGCCATGTTGAAGCCACGGCTGTCGTATCGACTTACCCAGCTCTACAATTAATGTTCCCTTCGGTGTTCCACTCGTGAGAGGTTTCTGTCGTCTTCTAATGGAAGATCACAATGAACTGCAGAAGAAATGCCATGCAGAAACAAAATGGCAAGAAGCCTTCACGGTTGCACCGCTCGATTAAACAACATGAAAGAAGAGCATCAATGCACAAGGTGTGGAAGCGCAGTGAGCTGCCATCACGACCACGTAGGCGAACTGTAATTTTCTTCTTCCATTTCCATAGAATTAAGATACAAATACGGGAACGAAGGAAACAAGATGCAGACGCATATATATCGCGCTCGACACAGACAGCGGTAATAGGTATAAACGACGGACACCAACACACAGCATTAGGCGAAGGAGGAAGCACCGAGAACCATGAGCAGCAGCACCGTCACCAGGGACCAGTTCGATGCGTACGAGGAGGATGACGAAGAGGAGGCCGGTTCGACGGGAGCTGGTGCCGGCGATATCCCAGGACCAGACACGGCGCCAACCGAGGATTTAGGAGGAGGAGACCCGGGCACGGGAGCTGCGGATGGTGCTGGGGTTGGAGGATGGGGTTTCGGAAATGGGCGTGGCGCAGGACCATGGGATACTGGTGCAGGTGAAGGAGATGAAGCAGGGGGCGTGTTGGAAGTAGGAGGTGGCGACGGAGGAGAAGAGATGGGCGGACAGTTCCTCACGGCCATGACCACCACCACCAGCTTCTGCCCCTGTTGGCAGTTCCCCGGCGCGCCGCTGATGAAGTAGACCGGCCCCGACCGATCGAACTTGAACACGGAATCGCCTCCATCGAGCTTCCGGATCGGTTTGCTCACGTCGCATGCATCGTAATCCTGCTTGCTCACCACCAGAACAGAGTCCTCCCCCTTCTTGTACTTGAACACTGCACAACACCATGCAAAGCTCAATGCACTACATATCAACGACTATAGATGATCGTCCGGCACATACCAATGGTGTCAGCAACCTGAAACCTATTCCTCTCTGCCCAATCACCATAACTCTCGGAGGGATGCAGCACCCAGCCATCCCTCCCTCCAGCGTAGAAGACGTAAGCCCCAGCTGAGTCCATCAACGCCATGGTAACCCCAGCAACAAGGAGCAGAGCAGCCAAGCCTTTCGAAGCCTCCATCGCTCCACCTCCTCGCTTCAACCCTAAGACCAGAAGAAGAAGATGGAGGAGAGCGCTCGTCGCGTCGGTGGAATCCGAAGGCGAGAGAGAGAGAGAGAGAGAG